TTTTAACATGAAACACAAACGGCCATTAGCATCATTAGCATTAGCATCATTAGCCACTAAATCAGCCATATCCTTTTCATTTGAGTCTATGGATAAAGGATTGGAGCAAAAAAAATATTGGGCCTCACCTAGATCAATAGGGTTGTCATCAATTCTCATAGAGTCTTTGTCCAGTTCATCACTATCTTCATCTCTTTGTTGCTCATGCTTATAACCCATCTCATTGGTCCCTTCTTGATTCATATTTAGATCTTGTGCTGTGTGTATGTTCAACTCATCTATTGCAGACTCAGCGTTCAATAATTCTGGCCCATTTACTGATTTCCTTCTACTCGGCCCATTATTTTCTCCCTTTTCCACTAGCCCATCTGATTGCTTTGATCTAAAAGTTTCCTAGATTTATTCGGCCCAGCACCATGTTTTAACTCACTAACAGACGCCGTCTTACGTGTTCGCCCCTCTAGCTTGGACCTGGTCAAAATCCTTTTATTTGTAATATCTTTAAACGGATCACATGCTGCCTGATTCTCCATATTATTCTCCTATATCTGCATGTTGTTTTCCATCGTATCTGCCTCAATATTTTCTAGAATCGAGTAGTAAGATTTCAGCCCCCCATTTTGATATTTTCCCCTAAAATCACGCTTAGGAATATTTCCTTGATTCTCCGACTAGCCACCTTGTCAGAACTAACAACGGCATTGTACCGGCATCCATGAGTCATATTGCACCACAGATTCTTGTACTTCTCCTTACACCTTCTAATCCTTCCCGCACAGTAGATGAATTATCAGCATACTGAACTACTACCTTACCCATAAGCTTTTCCTTATTTTTAGAGTTTGATCCTTTTTCCTCAGATTCCTGCACCTTCGATTGACAGTGTTCAACATCATGCCCGTATGTTCCACATATCAAGCATATAAGATGTATACTCTCATATTGTATCCTCTTTTCTTTTGCATTAATTAGAATAATAGGTCCACAATGGAGCATTAAGGCCTAGTTCGACACATATTCGTGCAAATCACCCTTTCTTCCGACGCATCATAGTCATATCTACCTTCAGAACTCTTCCTACTTGAGATCCCAATACATAAAAGAATCCTTTATTATAGTAGTCGAGTGGTAAGTTCATGATTCGAATCCAAGCTGCTATTTTAATGATCTTCTCTTCCTCATGTTCAAAATCCTCCTTCTATGGTTGCACAGCCAAGTAGTGATCAAACAACAACTACGGACCACCTGTAAGAGCAAACTCATAATCCTGCAGGTTCTCAAATTGCACCACAAAGAAGCCCGAACCAACATCTATCACAGCAACCTCACCAAAACGTCTCCATATCTGTGGAAGTTTGCTTTCCATATACTCAGACCTTACTATACGCCCTAACAACTTCACTATCAAGGCATTACTCCACCTCTTTGCCAATCTCTCTTTCTCAGCCGGTGGAATGATGACATTCGGACCTCTTGGCATCATTTTAACAGTAATTCTTGACTTCCACTTATCGTTGCTCCACCAATCCTCTTCCTCCGTTTTAGCCATACCATTCATACAAGCTTGCTTATACGATTTTCTAGCCTTCCCGTTCTCTTTAGCAAGTCTAGTTTCATCTTCCTTCTCTCCACTGAACTTACCTTCGACACCCTTCTCTACTTCTATGTTTGTCTCCTCACCCCTCATCCAAGGTTCATCTCATGGGATCAGGGTATGTTCATTCGAAAAAGTTTCGTCACCCGCACGCGAACCTTCTTCTTGCTACGAGCTACGGCATCTCGTTCCTCTAGTATCAGCACCGATAACTTTCTCTCTCGCACACTCATCAGTTTCTCAAGGTAACGGTGGTGTTCGTTTCTGATGCTTTCTACTTTTATATTTCCTCAACCCAATAGTCCAACCCTGATGCACAATTTCTAAAATCTGATGGCCCTAATGTAGAAGAGAGTTAGACAAGGATTTGTTCATAGAAAGAGAGTATTCATATTTTTTTATTTTTTTAAAAAAATATCAGCCACGATTGTTCATTATTATGTGCCTTTTCTTTATTAATAAAAAAAACGTTATTTTTTATCATGTTTAATATATTTACTATCAAAAGTTTTAACATTTATTATCTTATTTTTTTAATCCATATGCCCACTCATAAATATGGATCCTTTATAAAAAATTTGATAAAAAGTTAAAATTTTTTAAATCCATAGTAGAAAATTCAAAAAGAATTACATATATTGGATAAATGATTTATAATAGGCTAAATAAGGAAATATAAAAATATTACAAACGTTTGAATAAAATTTGTCTATTTGATGTATTTCTTAGATAGCTAGACTACAAATACTATTATCCGGACTTGGCAAAATTGTGCAAATATCTATAAATAACTTGGCTTGATTTTACATCTTTTTTTTTTTAATTCCCAAGACGGAATCGAACTTTGAAATGATACGTTTGGACTGCTACTATTCATGGCACACCCACTTAGTTTACATCTTTACCTTTACGTTTACCTTTACCTTTTGTAATTTCGGTACCATTTAATACCGTAGATCCACAATACCAATGGTACCCCATTTTTCTTTTCTTTTCTTTTAATATGATTATAACAAATGTAATTATGATATTATAAAAAATATTATAGCATACATACATACATACATCCATACATATGTTTTAGGGCCAAAAAATTAATACATAAGTGTAAAAATACATGAATTGTATAGAATCATAAATTATAATATATCAAATACATGTCATATTTCCCTCAAACATTATATATATATATATATATATATATAATATTGTCACAAGATTTAATCATGATCAGAAAGTAGCATTGACCTTAGTTACACCATTACGTGTAATATTTTTCTAGGAAATTCTTCAATGTGGAAATTAACAAAATATATCGCCAAGTGTTAATACTATTGGGATTTCCTTGCGCATTCTTCAGTCTTCCTTTTTTGTAAGTATATATGGAACCATTGCACAAGTTAGCATTAACTCAATGTTCTCGTATAGCTAATATGAATACGTGACTAAAGTTGAATCTTCGCAGCACTTCATGAGTTAGAATAGCTACACTCAGTCACATACATTAAGGGCATGTTTGTTTTATAAGTGATTTTTAAATGTTTTAGAGATTTTAATAAAAGTGATTTATTATTTATTAATAATTTTAATTTTTTTGATATTTTTATGGATCTTTATTCATAATAAATAATTTATCATTTACTTAATTTTGAAATTGGTGATATCTTCATGCAGCTTCATATTTTGACAATATTCTCCCCCGTAAATGTATCAAATTATTTTCAGAAGTTATTTTTAGCATCTTCTCAAAATAATGAAAAATCTTTTTTTATAGATTCTGATTATATTTAAGAGTTTAAACAAACATAATAAAATCTCCTAAAATGATTTTTAAAAAAAATTAATGAAAAAAACTCAACTAAAAGTGTCATGAGAGTGTTTAAACCATTAGATAAGTTATCAATAATTGACTCAACACTCACTCATCTCTCTCTCTCTCTCTATATATATATATATCTATTCTAATTGAGTATGAATTTATCAGTCATCCTTAGTTTCCTGTCTCCTATATATAAACACCAATCACCTTGTTTTCTCATCTATAACATCCATTGCTAGAGCATTAAATCCCTTTAGCAAGCATGAGAAGATCCATAAGTGATGGCATTGAGATGATTTTAATTTTTTTTCTCCTTTCTTGTGCAGCTTCACCGCTCTGTTTGTGTGGGAATCTCATTGATGATGGCTGCATAGAAGAAGAGAGGTATGCTCTTTTGAAGTCCAGAGATAGCTTTGACAATTACTCAAGGGATGTTCTTGCATGGGAAGGCAAAGAATGCTGCAGATGGAAAGGAGTCAAATGTGATGGCATCGTTGGGCATGTGGTCAAGATTGATCTCAGCCCCATAACAAATCCCATGGCAGAAAAGATAATCAACAAAGACTATGGTCCTTGTTTTCCTAACCGCCCATTGTCAAGTAAAGCAATGAGTCCTTCCTTGCTAGAGTTGAAATATTTGAGCTACTTAGATTTAAGTCTCGTTGATTTTCAAAATAGGCATCTCCCATTGTTCCTAGGGTCTATTAAACAACTAAGGTACCTTAATCTTTCCCACTGTTCCTTTTCGGGGAGGGTACCACACCATCTAAGCAACCTCACCAACTTGCAAATTCTCGATCTCAACGAAGTTTACATGTCTGGCTTAATGGTTTTGAAAGATCAATGGTTATCCATGGATGGCTTTGCTTGGGTCTCTCAACTTTCTCCTTTGTGATATATTAACATGAGGGGACTTTACATTGAGGATGAGATCAATATCATAATGCAGGTAGTTTACAATCTCCCATTGTTGCTAACAAGAAGACTTTATGTACTGTGATATTCTAAACTTTAGTACTTCTCATGGTTTTGTGAACTCCTCCAGACATCCTTCCAACATTAAAGTCTTAAATCTCCGAGGAAATTTTCTTGATGCCATACCAAAGGCTTTGCAAAACATGACATCCCTTTGATCCCTTGACCTTTCTTATAACTTTTGTATTGAATTTGTTCCATTATGGTTAGGAAAGTTCAAGTTTCTAAAACATCTGAATCTATCCAGGAATAGCATTTCTGGGTTATTCCCCATTGCTATTCAAAACATGTCATCCCTCACATCTCTTGACATTTCTAACAACAATCTTGACTCATCAGTTCCATTATGGTTAGGAGAGTTCACATTTCTAACCCATTTGAATCTAGCTAAGAATAAATTTGCTGGTTTATTTCCTATTTCTATTCAAAACATTACTTCCCTAAGATTCCTTGACCTTTCCAGCAATAATTTTACTTCTGCAATTCCATTATGCATTATCAAGAGAATTCAACATGTCAATCTTTCCAAAAATAAACTCTCTATTCTCCAAAGTTCTTGTCCTTGGAATTCCAAAATCAATCGCAATCTCGACAATAAATTTAGAGAAACATATGGAAGCTTCAAAAATATCAGTATGCATTAACAATGATTTACAAGAATTGGATTTGAGTCACAATGAGTTGAAAGATCTTATAGAAAGCTTTGGCCAACTTAAGAACCTGGTGTACTTGAATTTGGCTTCAAATTTGTTAAATGGCCCTATCCCGTTATTCTTTAGAAATTTGACCAAGTTGGAAGAACTAATTCTTAAAGATAATCAGTTCAATGGAACAATTCTAGCATTTTTAGGGAGATTTTCCAATTTAAGGGTGTTAGATGTTTCTGGCAATCACCTAAAAGGAAACATTCCTGATGATCTTGGAAAGCTCTTGAACTTGAAAATTTTGGATCTTTCCACTAACTCCTTGGAGGGCACTCTTGGGAAAAGTATCTTTAGTAATCTGTCATACCTCTATGACTTAAGGCTAGGAATGAACAAGTTATCTATAAAGCTTACACCCAATTGGTTACCTCCTTTTCAATTGACAAATCTTAATATGTCATCTTGCATAATTGGGACACCATTTCCTCAATGGCTTCAAAGCCAAAAGGAGTTGGACAACTTAGACTTATCAAACACCAACCTTTGGGGATCCCTCCTAACATGGTTTCAACAAGAGAATCTCATTGTGCTAGACCTCTCCAACCACAAGATCGATAGACTACTCCCAAGAAATCTCCATGATATGATGCCCTCTTTGACCAGCTTGTTCCTTAGTAACAACCTTTTGAACGATTCTATTCCAAAATCACTATGTAAATTGCAAGGGCTTCAAGACTTGGATCTTTCAAAAAATAAATTATCCTGTGAGATTCCTAGCTGTTTGGGTGAAATTCATGGCATTGTATTGATAGATCTATCATCTAATATGTTATCCGGCACTATTTCTGAACCATTTTGTCAAAGTACTTTACAATCTTTGAACGTAAGCAACAATAGTTTGTATGAGAGCTTCTATCAACCTGGTTATGTTTTAATCACTTGGAGATTTTGGATCTTGGCAACAATCAACTACATGGTATTGTACCTTCAAGTATTTGGGATGATTCTAGTGTGTTGAAAATTCTCAGGCTTCGCCAAAACAGATTCCAAGGTAACATCCCATCAAGCCTATGTCGACTCTCTTACTTGCAAAGCTTGGACATTGCAAGTAACAACTTATCTGGCGCAATTCCTTTATGCATTGAAAATCTTAAGGCAATGATGATAAAACAAGCATTGGATGATAGATCAAATGTAGATAAAGCTTCTGAACCTGTACCTGTGCCTGCTCCTGTAGAATTCTCCTTGGAACCAAGTAGTCTTATACCTACTGTAGTTGCAAGTCCTCTATCTTTTGATCAATGGGAAAAAGAAGATGTCAAGCAATTTATGAAAGGAAGAGAACTTGATTACACAAAAAAATCTCAAGTATGTAATTAACATAGACTTGTCAAGCAACAACCTAGTTGCCTTTATACCAGACATTCTAACTTCTCTCACTGGATTAATTAGCTTGAATTTATCACACAACCTCTTATCAGGAGAAGTCCCAAGCAAAATAGGGAAAATAAAGTTCCTTGAATCACTAGACCTCTCATGAAACCAACTTAAAGGCGCACTTCCAAATAGCATGTCTTATTTGACATCATTGAGCCACTTGAATTTGTCATACAATAACTTTTCAGGGACAATTCCAGAGGGAAGCCAGTTCCTCACTCCTGAGGATTCATCCATTTATATTGGAAACCAATATCTCTGTGGAGAACCTGTGCTGAAAAAATGCTCCCCAGATGACAATAATGAAGCTCCAACTTGCGAAGGCAAAGACGACGACAACAAAAAAGAAAAGATCGTTTTTTACTTTGTTGTTGCCCTTGGTTTCATGATAGGATTCTGGGGAGCTATGGGAGTTCTACTGTTCGACAAGAGTTTAAGGTATGCTTGTTTTAGATATGTGGAGAAAATTGCAGATGAAATATATGTAGCAGTAACAATAAGAGTTGCAAGGATCAAGAGAATATGGTAGAAATCTTAATGGAGATTGAGTTTGCCAGTGATGTCTCAGAAGGTTTGCTACCCACCCCAGAGTTATTATTGAATCCCATAATCTTGGTTGCATAAAGCTGATCAAATTTGGCAACCCGAACGCTTGTGAATTGTGACTAGGGGTGGCAAAGTCTTGCTCTCAGATCCTTCTCATAGTTTGGCATTTGAAGTTGAGTTTTCTTGTTCTGTTTGTAATCTCTTTGTTTTCACTAATGTAATGAAATTCAAGTACTATTCATGTTAATGAAAAAAAAAAAGATTTGTCGTTATTGTATAAATTTTAAAAATAAAAAACTAGGAGTTTCACCATTCGGGGATAAAAATTTAAATTTAATTTAGTTAATTTTTTATTACAACTAAACAAACACATATTCTTTTTGAAAAAAAATAAACAGTATATAAAAGAAAAACGATTGGGCTGACTGCGTGCTAGGGAGGGTTTTCCCCCTACTAATTGAATGGAGCAATGTATACTGGTTACAGGGGTTAAAACTCATTTGAATCTTTCTACCAAAAAAAAAAACCATTACTTGAATGCTTTTTTAAGTGGGGATATAATTTTTGAGGATGTCTTTCTCAGTGATTTTAAATACTTTAAATTTAAATAATTATAATCCATTCTATTAAGATCAACGACTGCGATTTCAGGTATAAATTCAATGTTTTATCTTCTTAACTTGCGGATTAAGAATAAAATGACAAAAAGGATATTATAATTACAAAACTACCTCTACCCCTAAATGTTTTAAATACATTATATTATCCAATATATTATATTATGCATTTTTAATGCTTTTAGTGCCAAAATCTCCTTGCTCTTTTCATTATTGAGATGTACTCTAGTTCTACTCTTTCTATTGTTCTGAATTCTTTTCTGCTCGTGCACAATTATCTTTCCATTAAAAGCAATCTTATTTAAAGCATCGTGAAATATTAAATGTGGATATCTCTATTAATATATATTCAAATCTTAATTTGCTATGTTGTAAAAATTAATCTCTTGTACTAGACTTTTTTACTTGATCCAATTCTATTGGTCCTGTCGTGCCGATTGTCCTTCCATTCTTTCCATTATGTCAAGGCATATGCCTAATATATTTTTTCAAATGATGTCAATTGAAAATTTTGTTATTATATATCATTTAATGTTGTTGAAGCAGCATGATATTCTGTCCTTCCTCAATACACACAATACACACTGTATGTTGCACATATTAACACCTAACGTCCTAACCTTTTTTATGATTGGAGAAAGAAAAGTTGGATTTTTAGTATGTGAGCTATGATCGTTCATTATCATGTGCCTAGTCTTTATTTAAAAACTTAATTTTTTTTATCATGTTTAATATATTTATTATCAAAATATTTTTTGATAACTTATTATCAAAAGTCTTAACATTTATTATCTAATTTTAGTCCATATGCAAACTCGTAAATATTGATCCTTTATAAAATAGGATAAAAAATTTTAATTTTTTAAATCATCATTAGAGAATTAAAAAAGAATTACATATGTTGGGTCAATGATTTATAATTGGCTAAATAAGGTAATATAGATATATTAAAAATGTTTGAATAAAATTTATATGATGTGGTAATGTTATTTTTTCAAAAAAGACGTGTTTATTAATCTGTGAATGCATGATGCGAAAGATATAACAATAAGAATACATCTACACACATTTCTATCTAAATTACTCATAATGAACAAAAAATGGGATTCTCCTTGGCAACAATAATGATAGAGATAAAGGAAACGGATTTAAATTTTTTGAAATTGAAATCTGTAATTACGCATAAATTAGCTTCTTTATATGCATGCTCATAGATAATCTCTTAATCCTTTATCAAATCAAAGTATTGATAATATCTTGCCCATTGTTAAAAGTCAGGTGGTTGATTAATGTCATGGGTGTTGATGATTTTGAGGATAAAGAGCTTTTTAATACTTACTATCTCGTGCTTTAGTCCACATGCACACATATAAATATTGATCCTTTATAAAAATATGAAAATAAGGTAAAAATATTTTTAAAGCAATGTTAAATTAAAAAAAATAATTGCATATATAAATTGGATAATTAAATTAATAATTGGCTAAATGAATTATTTAGGGTTATATATACATTAATTGGCTAAATGAATTATTTAGGGTTATATATACATGGCAAACTAGAATACCAACGTCTCAAGGGTGAAGTCACAGTCCGTGCAGTATGTATGGGCCTTAAAGTATAAAGTGCGTTTATAATTATTTATTTAAAAATTAAAAATTTAATTAATATCCACTAATTACAATCCAGTGGAGTAGTTGAGTCTTTAAACCAATGCACAAGGCAGAGTTGACTATGATTACAAGTAGTGATCTTTTTTCTCGGAAATTCATTGTTAACTTCTTGCAGATTCTCAGTGAATTTAGAGAAAATTTCCTTTTGAAATTGATACTTTTGAAGGATTGCAACAAATTAAACTAGGAACATATATTTGGCTCATATAAAGTTTAGAAAAGATATACTTGCAAGTCCTTACAGTTTCATTTGATTTTAAATTAGATCTCTACAATTTATTTTATTTTAATCAAGCTCTTATAGTTTTATCTATTATATATGTTGGCCCCTGAATATTAAAATTAATAATGAATTATTAAATTTTACAAAACAAAAATACTCTTGGAATTTGCAGAAAATTTAATTTAATACTTTAAGACAAAATTGAAAAAAAAAATTGATTTAATCCACTGCTTATATTTTTATTGTAACTTTTATGAAAATTCTACATGTATAAATAATATTTAGAAGACAACCTAATTATATGAATTTTGAGTTATAAAAATTATGTAATTAATTCTAAAGTCGTATAATCATTTAATAAAAATATAAAAGCTTTAATTAATTTTTTAAAGGAAAAATGTAAGGATTTTAATTTTTAGGGATTAAAAAATTTAATTGATTAAACTATAAGGCTCAATTAAAACCAAATAAATTGCCAACAACATGTTAAAAGATTCAGTAATGATGATTTGAAAATCAAGTAGGAAGTGAATCAATTCTTTCAGGAATCGAATACTTATGCGCGTTTCTGATGCTTTCTGCTTTAACCCTGATGCACAATTTCTAAATTCTGATGGTCCTAAAGTAGGAGAGAGTTAGACAGGATTTGTTCATAGAAAGAGAGTATTCATTTTAAAAAAAAAAATGTGAGCCACGATTGTTCATTATTATGTGCCTTGTATTTATTAATAAAAAAATCTTTTTTTATCATGTTTAATATATTTACTATCAAAAGTTTTAAAATTTATTATCTTATTTTTTTTAAATCCATATAGACATTTGATTTAGCAGAAGGATTTAACATTTATGTGCTCAGATTTCTTGGAGATTTTTCTTTATAACAAAACCTTATAGGCATTTGATTTAGTAGAAGGATTTAGCCCCTCACAATGTGATAAATTAAAGTTCAAACTCACTTGAAGAAATGCTCATATATTTAGTATCCGACTGTAATTTAAATATGATTGTCTTCAATAAAAGAACACGTCTTAGCAATCAAAACCTCATGCTTTGCTTGCACGGGGATGTTCCAAAATATCATCCCACTTAGCCAATATAAAGCTAATGCAAAGCTACACGTTTTAAGACTTAATTAGTTTTGAATATTCTAAAACAAGGTATGCCCACAAGAATAATCAAATAAAACTAAACCGCTACTATCCTATTACTTGAACCCGGCAAAAGTGTGTAAAATATTTTGGTTCGATTTTACAATATTTGTTAAAGCTAATACTTTTTTTTAAATCAAGAGTATATTCGGCCAATAATAAAAAATTTATTACACTTAGAACTAGAATTCATAATTCAAATTGTTGTCAAATTATAAATTTTGTGCTATTATAATTATAATATTATAACAAATATACATATATCGATGCATGTCTTAGGGCCAAAAAAATGAAAAATTAATATATAAGCGCAAAAATCCATGAATTGTATACAATTATTAAAATTGATTATAATAAACATTATATATATATATATATATATATATATATATAATCATTGTCACAGGGCAGCATTGACATTCGTTACATGTAATCTTTAATTTTTATGGGAAATTCTTCAACATGGAAATTGACAAATTAAAATATATTGTCAAGTTCTTCAGTCTTCCCTTTTTGTATGTGTATATGAATGGATGGGTGAGGTTGAATCTCAGAACCTCTGCACAACCTCTGCACAAGTTAACATTGACTCAGTCTTCTTACGTAGCTTATACGAATGTGCGGCTGAGGTTGAGTCTTAGCCCCCATTCCACGGGTTACAGATCAAGTTTGTTTTACTTAAAAAAAAAGTAATTTTTAGATATTTTAAAAATTTTATAAAATATATATTTATTATTTAATAATTTTAAAATTTTATGATATTTTTATGAATCTTTATTTAAAAATATTTATTATTTACTTATTTTTAAATTTTATGATTTCAAAAGTTAAAAAACAATTTGCATAACAAACGAGTTTAGAATTTATGATACTACTTGACTTAATTAAATTTTAGGAGATAATTTATTCATTTATCCATAATTTAATATGAAACTTTGGAACAGGAATTTGGATTTAATCCTTTAGTGTGAGTTCTATACACTTAAATACCTTTGGAACAGATATAATTCTTGTGATATGATGTGGTAATTTTGTATATAAATATTTGTAATGAAAATCTAGACGCATCGCATGTAAACACTTGAATACCAGCTGGGTATATAGTCTTCATCCTCAAACATATATATGGTTCAATTATTGAAATATTAGGAAGAGAAGAACTAGTTGTTGCTAGAATATAATGATAATTAGGGAATGACAAGTAAGGAACTTATAAGCAGATTAATATCAAATCAAGATTTAAAAAAAATTGTATTAAAACATGGGAAAATGAGTGCTCAATTTAAAAACTTTAATTGTAAAGAGATCTTAACTTAATATTAATGTTCTTATAAGGATTTTATTTGTCATTTTCCTAAAGTATA